TCTTGCAGAAGTATGGAAATAAACAATATTCTTTCTGATTGTTACCTTTCAAAAGAGCCAACAATTTTTTTCTGTGATCAGGATAATCACAGTGTCAAGCAGGGTCTAGAAATACCATTTCTTTGTTAATAACTCTTCTTATTAAGTCAATAAAAATACAAATACTATTTGTATTAAACTTTAATTGTTTTATGGTAATTGATCTATCTGAACTTATCTTTAAGTGAAAGAAAAAGTAAAAAGATGGCTTGTATTCAGTTCCTGTGCTATTCAGCTGTCAATGTCGGCTAATAGTGAACCTTAAGCAAGACTGGTAATCTTTTACAGAAGTTAAGGAACTGTGCAACAAACTTTGCAACATTCAAGCTGCATTTCCATATTGTCCAAAGAATATTCATTTTGATACTTTCTCGTTTCATAATACATAACCTCATCTACTTTTGTGCACAAACTCTCTCTCTGTATATGTGTGTAACACATTGTTACATACATGTGTTTATATGTGTATGTATGTATATTTATATGTGTGTGGGAGAAGGTGCTTTCGAAATGTTAGCCGAAATATATACTTAAGCGAACTGTGCACATCTTTTTTACTGAAAACAAACTCATCAAATAACATTGATTAAAGGAACCAAAATTTATCAAGGTCTTGCTGTGTGCTAGGCATCATAGTAAGTTCTAGGTATATGCATTTTAGTAAGATTTTTGCACCTCTGCATGGGAGATGCTTTTATCTTAAAAGGGTAGACAAACAAACCAATAATTACAACACATTATATTACAGAATTATGTACAAGATGGTTGGGAGTACAGGAGAGGCAGATCCAAATTAGTTTCAGTCGTCAAGAAAGTTTCCTGGAAGAGATATTCCTTATGTAAAGAAGAGTAGAAGGCATTTTAGGTAGAGGATACAGTATATGCTTCAACGACAGAGGTCTGAACTACAGTGACTTGCCCAAGAAACTATAGGTAATTCAGTCCGGCCAGAGTGAAAGCACTATCTCATGTTTGGTTTGCTATGAGCAGTAATTGCTTTGTGATTATGAGGGAGAATATTCTAGATCTTAGAAGATATATGCTGGTATATTTAGAGGTGAAGTGCTGTAATTTCTGCAACTAATTCTCAATGATACAGAAAGAGCTCCTAGAGAAATACCACTTCTCTGACCAGGTGAAATCAGGCTTCACCCATATTTTAATTTATTACAATGAAACTTACATATAAGAAAAGTTATAGAGAGTCACAATCTTTTGAAATTGAGTTTTGGCAAAGTTTGATTTTTCAAACAGGATTTTCTATGTTATAAGACTATTTTATTGAGGATATTATCTTTCTTTTATTATTCACCTTTAATGTCTTCTACTTTTTCAGTCCTGTGTCATCTCAAATTACTATGGAGCAGAGATTGGAATTCAGCTGTTGAGGCTGCTCTCTATTCAGGGAAAAATAGCTTTGTGTTTCACTTACAAGCTGATCTGTAATTGCTTGGGTAATATGATAATGGATTCTAATAACGAAACTTTTTTAAAGGGTTTTTTTCCTGTACAGTACATTTTGTTCTTCCTAGTATTTGCTTTTCCTTTTAGCAAAATTAACACATCAAAAGGATGATAGATTATCTGATGAACATAATGTTCATTTAAAAAGTCAGGTAAACTGAACAATTTTAGGAAAATGTACAAAAGTCAGGTAGATGAACAATTTTAGGAAAAAAAATTTCTCCTTGGATGCTTCAGAAAAAAGCTAATTTCTGTCTCCTACTTTCCTACCCACCACTTTCTTTTCTTGCATGTATTTATTTTTACAGGCATGGGAGTTTTTAATGGACATTGACTTCTCTTATCTTAGTTCTTCCTGCTTGCTTCTCTTTTTCATTTTCATGTGTTTATTTTTCTAACATGTATTAATCAAAGTTCTGGAGCTATCTGGTTGAGGCTGACATTGTATCCATTTCAAGCCAGCCCTCCTGGCCCTTCATTTTGGCTTCCAGGGCTGTGTTCTCCAAGACCACCCCTCTCTACCACCACCACCACCAATAGGGATGGACTTGAAGTTCCCAGGATGTCTGTCAGTGTCCCCTTGGCAGCTCCTGGCTAATAGCCAGTGTGAGATCACAGAAGTTTAATGGTGAATTCCTATACGTCATGAACTGGAAGGGCTATTGGGCATGTGGTAGGTAGGGGCCTGATAAATGTTTGGATGAACAGAGAAATGAATGTGCAAAGGAATATAGCTCATAACTGAAGTCCTTAAGGAGTGAACCTGTTTAAGCAAGCACTTCTGTCGATAAGTCTAGCCAATTACATGTGCAGTTATAAGCATGCATGTGTCTCAGTGTGTTTCCATAAGATTACTGCGGCCCTCAGGTTCTCTGGTGAGTTTGGAGGCAAGCGTGGCCTGGCAGGAACTGCTGTGCTGTGAGTAATCAGGAGACTTCCCAGGAAAAAAAAGGATGTCAGAGGCATGGGGATTCCACATTTAGCTTCACTTTTAGTATGAAACAACTTCTATATCCTATCTATTTGAGGGACCAACTCATTAGAATTAATGCTTAAAATACAACCTTGCAAAGTCTGAACTCTCTCACATTGATTAAGAGCAAGATCATCTTTGATAAATTTTTGCATTAAATTGGCAAGGCAAAATTGTCCTCAAGTCCGGGAGTTTCACGTTTTGCACATACTCTCTCATTCCCTTGTGGTTTGAACCAGGTTGCTATTATATAGAGTATTTTAGCAGCCTTGATCTTGGAGACATCAAGACCATTATTCCTGTTGTTGCTGATTTAGTATTACAGCTGCTTCCTCTTTGTGTGATTTAATTTGAAGTTTCAGCCCACCAGGGGGCTATTGGTCCCTACCTATGCAGCTTTAAGAGCTGGCTGCTGTTTTGTGCTTGGATGTTATTTCCATTCCTATTCATAGTGATTTTTCCCCTTCTATATTCATCTAGCAACAGCAAGGCACTGTTCCAGGAACTCGCTTTCTCTACATAAGGCATAACATGGAACCATTTGGATGGAAAAATTATAAATTAAAATTATTCTGTTCATTTTAAAATATTCATATTGTGTTGCTCAAATGCCAGTAACTGGAAAATCATGGATAATGTCCTGTTTTTATAACCTCTTTCAGAATGTTTTAAAATCTGTTTATGTTGTTACTTAGCCATCTCTTTTCCTGGAGTGGATTTTGTGATAAAATTTTTTTTAAAAAAAAAAAGTTGTACGAACCCAGTGTCTAATGGCATATATAATATTAAAGATGATACCACTAGTTGCAATTCATTTTTAAAATAGAAAAATATTTATTCCCTGTACAGAGAATATTTATAAAATTATAAGACTATAAAGATAGCCTGTGGACATGCCAGACTATTTCTTTGGAGGATAAAGCTTTTTATTAAATGATTAAAACTAAGCAAAGGTTTATTATTTCTGGAACTAGGTATTTAATTTAAACTAAGAAAACCCAAATATTCATAAAACTACTGATTTCAAAAACTAAAAACATCTCTAATTTTTTTAATAGAGCTGTGTTTTGATGTCTTCTGTTCTCAGTGCTAAGTTATTGATTCTTTAATTTTGGGAAACTAAAATTTTATTTCCATTCTTGTATTTTCCATGTTGTGTGGGTGTGGGTGAGGATGTGCATGTCTCAGAAAGATAGACAGGTGGGAAAAGTGAAAATGTTTTTATGTGGTTTAAATAGTTTTTCATTAAAGTAAATATATCTTTATTCTAAAGGAAAGAATAGTGATTGGAGATCTTAGCTTTATGCTGTGTATTTTTCCACCTCTGTGGAAAGAAAATGAAGATCTTTATTTTTTGCTTTTCTATTCTGTAAGTTTTAAGTCCACATTCACATGTATTTTATTTGTTGTCTCTCTTGGCTAGGAATATTTGAATGTATTTTTGAAACTCTTCTGTCAGCTAAAGACAATTTAAAGTTATTTTAAGACACTTTCTAGAAACTTACACTTTGGTTCAGGCTAAAGTCTTTGTTTGTGTGGCTGTGTATGTGTGGAGGTTCTTCAGAAGCAACAAATCACTTGAGCATGAACAAATTTCACAGGCTCATTTCATTGTTTGTTTTAGCCCTGTGAATCATTTGGCCTTTTAAAATAGGCTAATCTTTTCATTGAATATGGGGTCAGAAAAGTTCTGTGTGCCCTGAAAACCTGGATGGTTCTTGCTAACTCTGCTTTGTTTGTTTTAAATAACACAAGGTGATCCAAAAGTGTTTCCTCTCTATTTTTGAAGGGATATTATTGCAGACTATAATATTTGAAGTTGGGATTCTTTATAATAACAATAACAACACACACACACACACACATATATATGTTTTCCTAAAGTCTGATTTATGAAAAATAGGATGCAAGCTGTCAGTAAACAAGTTTTCCAACACAAACACTTAGTGTATGCAGCAACCGACTTTTTTAAACATAGCAATAAAATGAACGCTGTTTTTAATTGGATGAAGAAGATAGATTAGAATAGTTACAACAGGAAAAATGGGTACCTTATAATTAATAATATGTGAGTTAAACCTTAACTCTACTTGACATTTTTCCTTGGGTTGGCGACACCCTGATTAGTGAGTTAACTGCTAGTAGTCTCTAATCTGTGGAGTGACTGTTTCAGTTCCAGGGCTTATGGTGTTCAATAATATAGGTATTTTCTGAGGTGGGAATGAAGCTTTAGTCTTGATCAAAGTGCTTTGGAGGAAGCACAGTTGAACTGATTGGCTGTGAATGTTAATCACTTCATAGGACGCACTGATAATTTACAGCATTGTTGTAACTCTCTGGTGTTCATAAAATGAACTTAATAACCCACTGCCACCATGGGATAAGCTGCTTTTTCTCTGCAATTGAATACCCAGACTGCTTGAATAATAGGGTTGAGAAATACTGCATTAAAAAGAGTGAGCAGCTGTATGATGAAGGAAACAGCTCTGCAACAGATTTGTTAATTATCTCCTTTGATTCACAGAGGGTGTTTGTGAGATATGGTTGACCAGTGAAGACACAGGGGCTTATGGCAGAGATAATGGCACCAATCTCCCCACACTCCTGTGGAAATTGGTTGAAGTGATTCCTGAGGGAGCAATGCTGAGGCTTGGCATGACAAATCCGCCCTATATTTTAGAGCATCTGGAGGTAAGGAAAAGCACCTCATTTGCATGCTGACACAGACACTAACCAATCCAGACAGTGTGGCAGCCTCAGTGTCACTGCATGAGCTTCGTTTAAAACCACTTTGACATTTTTCTGTAGTCCCGCATTACCAAGAATGAATTGAGACTTTCAAATCCCCTTCTTTGGCAGTCAACGCTTCTTGTTTTTGCTTCCTCATCATTAATTAACATTGCCCAGATTTTTCAGTACTTGCTACTTTGTCATGGTTCTCTGTTTCTTCCTTGCAGCCCTTCAATTTTCCAACACATAAATTTGCCTCTGTTCCTCCATTTTGAACCTTTGTCTAATTCAGAACTGCTAATGTGTTGCGTTAATTTTGCAACCATAGTCAATGCTGCAGGTTTTTGTACTACTTTTATACTACTTTTTGTACTACTTTTAGCCATATGAGTAAGGATACTGTGCCCTAAGTTTGAAGATGAATTTTCAGTTTCATGCCTTCCTCTGGAGATACTTAGGGGTGAAATGGAATCAAAGGGACATAGAGCTTGGTACTCTTCCGCTAGATTTGTGCATAATTTACTATGACACCTGTATTCCCATTGCAATGCTTATTCCCAAATAAATCATTTTCTTTTAGAGAGTCTCACTCTTTGTTATTTAGGTTAACATAATTAATGGTGATGATCACTGTGAACAAAAAAGAAGGTGATTCTAAGATCCCTGGTTTCATGTTTATCCCTTCCGTGCATCAGGATGATTACCCTTAAGTAGCTAACTGGCAAACTAGAAAAATGGGCATGTGTCCAGGTAACTGTGGCACCTGATGACAAATGCCACAATAAATATGAGCAAAGACTCTTATTTGAGAAATAAAATAATTACCTACACCTGTAGTTATGGACATGGAACCTGATAAGTGCTGTGGGAAAGTCACTTTTCTTTTTAATCAGGTGTGTTTTTTGCCATATATTTATGCAAAAAAATAGCATTCCAAAAAGCTATAAGCAAGTACAGTTGCTGAAATTTAACGCATAAATGCTAGTGAATATCTAAACATTTAAAAGATTGTTTCTGTTGATTTGATTTTAGGACTGTACTTGTTGAGGTTTTTATAGAACAGCCTCCTTAATATCAACAATGTGTTTTAGAAATTCTGAAAACAGAGTTAATAATCTGACTGCAATTTAGCAATTTCAATTTTGTTATTTACATTTTCCTAGCTAGATGTTTGTAGTAAGGGCACATGATTTATATGTGAAGGTTGGTACTTTAGACAATGTGAAATGATTATGATTTGCTATTTAAAAATAAGTTGCAGGCATGTCAACTTTTACTTAACACTTTGACTCAACACTTGAAAAAGCAAGTGATTCTCTGTAAAAAAAAAAAAAAAAAAAAAAAAAAACCCAGCCTGAGCAATAGCGAGACCCCGTCTCTACTAAAAATAGAAAAAAAATCCAATATGCTAAGAGCTGTGGCAGTCTTGCTGTGTTTGCAGTAAATGTGAGGCATAATCATGAAGACCAGGAGATGTGCTAGATGTGGGTGGGTAGGAAGAGAAACAGGCCCCACCAATGTACAGTTTATTATAACATACCGGTTTCTCTGAATTGAAAATGATCTGATCAGGGATCCAGGGACCCTGGGACCCCTAGTAGCTAGAGTCAGGGAAGTTCAGGTAGGGAGTAAACACAAAGGAAAAAATCAGGTATTGGCTCAGAGGTGACTAACCAAATACTTCTTGGAGTGAATTTAGCATTTTAATTGATTGCAAGATTACAGCAGGTGATAACGGCATTTATAGCAGATCCTAGTGCTCAGCACCTGACTAGACAGAGTCATTGACCTCTGAGTAGATACCCTGGGAGAGCTTCTACCAATCAACAGAAGATGTGAAATACAACTTTATACTTTACCTGGAAAACACCAGATGTTTAGTTCATAGATCATAGTTGGAGTGATAACAAGTTCTGATTGTCACAACATGTTCTTTAAAATCTTGCTTCAAAATATGTGTAATATTTGCCTTCCCTGCTATATTGTCATCTTGAGGCAATGACCTTGTCATATCCATCTCTGGATTGATCCCACCCAATAGTGGTTCAATAAATGAGTCAATAAAAGAATAAATAAAGGAAAGGCCTCCTTCATAAAACAAATTGTAGACCACACTATAGTCTTAAACTTTGAATTCTTAACACTGTGGCCAGAAGAGGCAGCAAAAGATGACGTATTAAATGAGCTTCAAGGGTAGGTTTGCCCTCAGAGAAAGCCACCCACTCCTGTGTACTCCACAAGTAGGGGATGATCCAGGCTGTTGTACCACACCAAGGGAGAAAAGCCATCCAAAGGAAACAGAACAAAAGGAAATAAACAAACAAAGGTATGCAAGAATCGAAGATCCACAGCATCTGGAAGGAAGAGCTTTTAAACTTTTCCTTGTCACTTTGACAAGGCCTTCACACCTTGGTGTTTCTTCTCATCCTCCTCTGGGTGGCAGAGCCCAGAGCGTGCCGTGTTACACAAACACATCCTTATGTGACAGAAAAGGTGACTGAACCCCAGAAGGCGTACGTGGCTTCCCAGTGTCAGAAAGGGCATGAGGGAGGGGCACCTAAGCCCCATGATCCTCAGTCCCGTGCCCAGCAACTCATTGTATTTTTCCATTTTCCTCTCACCGCGCTTAGCCCACTCTACAGAAAGTACTTATCTAGAGAGTGCTGAAGAAAGTTCACCAATAAGAAAAAAGGCAAAACCCAGAAGATGAAAGTAGATTTTAAAAAGAAATAAATAAAACCACACAGCGAATGAAGGTAGTGGTTTTTTTAAACTGTAGGGATGAAAGGAACCCACTCTTGCCCTGATGCTTTAATACCTTCAGCGTGAGGATTTCTTGAGAATTTTATTGGTAGGACTCGAGCCTTCTTGTGTTTCTGGAAGATGCTTCACACGACAGACTTTAATTATAGAGCACTTTCACTGGGCTGGTTTCCTTCCTCTTCGTTCTGTTCACTTCACCTGACTCAGATTTTTTTTTTTTTAAACGCTTTACCAGCTTTTTTTTTAATTGAACAATTTAAAGGGGAAAATATTCAAAGGAAAACACCCTTTTCTATCATATTATTTAAAAGTAAGCTGTAGAAAGATCTGTTGAATACATTTTATGAAGTTTCCCTAAGAGTAGAAGGTGCATATTACACTTAACGTAGGATGCACTTTTAAGGTTTTATGAAGAGTCTGGCATTGTGTATGGTATTTTATATAGCAGATATTGAATAAATATGTACCGAATAAAAGAAGGAAGGGTGAACTCTATCACTAACAGGCAGACAGGTAGTGAAGTGTCTGTTTGGAACATCTACAAACCCTATTTTTAACTTATCAGTGCCCTTAAAAAGCAATATAGGATTCATTTAAATTATGATAGAGCTGACAAAGAGATATCTCAAACATATACATAGTGGGAAAACACCCTGGAATTGAAGAAACATAGCTATGAGCTTATGTAATACTGTATTAAATTTGCATATGGTAATAGAAACAATAGATAAAACAATAAATTTTAAAAACTATTTTACTTCATTTTAAAATCTACTGGTGTCTCTCCATTGCCTCAAGGATAAAGCTAAGCTTTTTAGCATAACGTTCAGGGTCCAGATACTTTTCCTGTTAACATCCCTGTTCTCTTGTCCCTTTTGTATCCTTATGATGCCTCCTATATATACTGTATATATATATATTTTTTCCTAAACAATTTATACTCTTGAAATTTTTACTTTACCTTTTTGCCATTACATGCTTACCATACGATGACAGTTGATGGTAATGTGTTAATCAGATATACTAATATTTGCTACTGCACGTCTTGGCTAATATATTGCCCTTATAGTGGCAAATAAGAGAGATTTTTCCTGTGTTTGCTTTCCTATTGATATTGCTGATGTAATAACCCTAGCATATTCCTCTTTAATAAACTGTGACCTTATAGAAAGTGAAGCATCTTGTGAATTTGATCACTGTTGAAACTACATTGCTTAGTTTTGCCCTCCTAGTGGTAGGTAGCCCACAGCTAAGGTATTAATTTAGACAGAAAATAATACATGTCAACCCAACAAGGTGTAATGAAACCAGTGACAGTGATACAGTGGCTGCTAATGAGGCACCAGAAATCACCAGTAACTTTTCCTCCAGACTGAGCACAAATAATAATAATGATAAAATCAGTACACTTTATCAAGTACTTATTAGTTTCAAAAAACCATGCTGATTGCTTTACACACGATCTCTTTTCCTTCTTACAATAAGCTAGCTGTATAAATATTATTGATATTATCATTTTTTTCCCCATTTTTTAGAGACAAGTTGCCCAGGCTGGAACACAGTGGCTGTTCACATGCACAATCACTGTGCACTACAGCCTTGAACTCCTGGCCTCAAGTGATGCTCCCATCTCAGCCTCCCGAGTACCTGGGCCTACATACAGACGCACACCACCACACCTATTATCCTTATTTTGTTAATTGAGAAGCCAAATGTTAGAAAGGTTAAATAACTGGCTAAGCCACATAGCCAGCAGCTGCTGAACTGGTTTCTAATCTAGTCTAACTCTAAAATGCTTTGTACTATACTGCATTTTCCATGAAGCCTTCCCAAGCTCTTCCCACATACTTTCTGTGCTTAGTCGTACCCCTGTTCAGCAGACCTCTGTCGGTACTCATCATGGTGCACCATGACTAATTACTGATGTGCAAATTCTACACAACGGTTATCTTTAGGGAGGTGCTGTCTTCTTCATCTTTGCATTTCAGTGCTGTGATAACACACACACTTAATAAATGTATATTGAATGATGTGGTAGCTGAAAGTTTAACTTATTAATGTTCCTTGGCTATATATATGCCTCATATATTGAAATATCTTCATATCTGCTGAGCATGTATTTTTGGAAGTGTTTGGGAATGGTTGGCATATATATTTCTCATAAGTCACACTTCTGTGAAGATGTACTGGATGGTGGG